GCGTGACTCCCTGCTGTCTGAGGGCAGGGATTGGCTTTGAACTGGGATCTAGGTAGCCCCACAACTACCGTGATCCACATCAGCTTCTCTGTGGGGCACGCCTGCCCGGCCGCAGGGCCATTTTCACCGTATTTCACCTCTTTGGTGCCTGTGCACTGTGAAACAGAAAAGATTCATGGCTCTCAACAGCTGGTCGTGTTTAGCATACCCTGCGGTTTGATGCTTTCAAAAGGTTTCGCTATAGGACTTCGGTTCTGTGAGGGGATAAAAAAGAGCTGAGGGGGTCTTCATCTCCTTTCAGGAGGAAGGTATTTTCAAAGTTATTTTTCATAATTGTGAGTCAGAAATTCATCTGCCTAGCCACCTTTCCGTTCAGTTGCATAACTGTTAGTAAGGGCACATTTGACCGGCTTTTTCAGCAGTTTTCTGGGAGGTAACACATTCATGGCACTTTGTAGTCACCATCAGTTTGCAGATACCCGAAGGCAGATACACACATATACCTGAGGCACCTGTACAGGCAGGCACACATTCCAGAAATGCAGCCCGGCTGTATAGGGCACAAAGGAATGCAGCTTGGTCTTCCTCAGCAGATGCTTCCCTGAGAAAGCCGCCACTTCTAGAGTGCTAAGGAATCAGCAAAATGTGATAATCTCTCCCACACAGGGAATGTTTTGCTTTTCTCTCAGTGGACTTCTCCTCCTGACTGGGCCTAGTGGGCAGACAGTTGGACACCTCCACCTGCAATTGCAGCAGGTATTTTGCAGTCCATAGGCTGTTCCCTGCGGAATAATTTCAATGCCTTCAGAGCTTTCAGAGGTACAAAACAGTGCTGCAGCTGTACTGCTCAGGCAGCCTTTCTATGAGAACTCTTACACAGTTGCAGGTTGCTTTAAGGTCTCTTACTGCAGTTTATGTCATCTCATAATTTTTTAAAATCTAATACTTTCCAAAGTCTTTTGAATGAAGAAATACCAACGTACAAAATTCTGCATAGTAACTCTCTCACTAGAAACACACAAAAAAAGTGCAAACCACTTTCCCCAAACGAAAAGGAAAATCCTGTCAGCTTTAACATTGGACACGAGAGGAAAAGCATGGCTCGAGGCGGGGTGGGGTGGAAACTGGATTTCTTTATCTCAAGGGTATCTATATGGTTCAGAAAAAGTTTCCAGCAATCCATTATAGCTACTTAATCTGGATATTTATTTAAAAATATTCCACTCCAATTTTATACACAATTGCTTAACACTTGCTTAACTTTCATTATGACTCATGGCAATGATTCATGAAAAACGGGGCATTTGAATCTCCCCTTTCTTTTTGCAAAGGTAACCTAAATGAAAAAGATACAGCTGTCCCAGAACAGAGCGGAAAACTGCAGGGAGCACTGTAGTAATAATACAGTCATTGGTCTTTATCATTATATATTAGCTTTGAAACTTAATTGAAATATTTCAATTTGCAGTTAAATATTTTTCATTAAATGAACTCATAGTGTATCAATGTATGCATAACAGTACAAATGTTAATGTTCTCAGGTATCTGAAATGTAAATCACTCAGTACTGTTGATGGTATTTTTATTCTGACAAGTAAAACGTGTATTTTTATTCTTTGAAGGCTTCCTTGAACAAGGCTTGCTAGTTAAGGATGAAAAGAAATTACGAGATCATTATACCCAAACTGCGCAGTTCAGACTGGATGTGCTGTCTCTTCTGCCGACAGACCTGGCATATCTGAAGCTTGGTTTCAACTACCCTGAACTGCGATTTAACCGCTTGCTGAGAATTTCACGGCTGTTTGAGTTTTTTGACCGCACTGAAACCAGGACAAATTATCCAAACATGTTTCGTATTGGAAATCTTGTCTTATACATTCTTATCATCATCCACTGGAACGCGTGTATATACTTTGCAATTTCGAAGCTCATCGGATTTGGAACCGACACTTGGGTCTACCCCAACGTGTCCATTCCAGAGTATGGGCGCCTGTCTAGAAAGTACATTTACAGTCTGTACTGGTCAACGCTCACGCTGACAACCATTGGAGAAACACCTCCTCCGGTGAAAGATGAAGAGTACCTCTTTGTGGTCATTGACTTCCTGGTGGGCGTGCTGATCTTTGCTACCATTGTTGGTAACGTGGGCTCCATGATTTCCAACATGAATGCCTCCAGGGCAGAGTTCCAGGCCAAAGTGGATTCCATTAAACAGTACATGCATTTCCGAAAAGTGACTAAGGATTTGGAAGCCAGGGTTATTAAGTGGTTTGATTACCTGTGGACCAACAAGAAGACGGTGGATGAGAAGGAAGTTCTCAAAAATCTGCCTGACAAGTTGAAGGCTGAAATTGCCATCAATGTCCATTTGGACACGCTGAAGAAAGTGCGTATATTCCAGGATTGTGAAGCTGGACTTCTCATTGAGCTGGTGCTGAAACTGAAACCTACGGTCTTCAGTCCTGGGGACTACATTTGCAAAAAGGGAGATATTGGGAGAGAAATGTACATTATTAAAGAGGGAAAATTGGCTGTGGTGGCGGATGATGGCATAACCCAATTTGTAGTCCTAAGTGATGGCAGCTACTTTGGTGAGATCAGCATCCTAAACATCAAAGGTAGCAAATCTGGCAACAGGAGGACAGCCAACATCAGGAGTATTGGTTATTCTGATTTGTTCTGCTTGTCTAAAGATGATTTAATGGAAGCCCTCACAGAATATCCAGAAGCCAAAAAGGCTCTGGAAGAGAAAGGGCGACAAATTCTTATGAAAGACAATTTAATAGATGAGGAAGCAGCAAAAGCAGGAGCTGACCCAAAAGACTTGGAAGAAAAAGTAGAAAGACTTGAGACCGCTCTGGATACGCTGCAGACTAGGTTTGCGAGGCTCTTGGCAGAATACTCCTCATCTCAACAAAAGGTGAAGCAGAGACTTGCCAGAGTAGAAACCCGAGTGAAAAAGTATGGTAGTGGCACCTTATCAGTTGGAGAAGCAGAAGCTGAAAAACCCGAGGAGGAGAAAAAGTAGTAATGGAGTAGTTATGTTTTCTCATTTGTTGGAGAAGGATGAAGCATGTGAAAGCCATAAATATATGTAAATATGTGTGTGCATACATAGACATGATTATTTTTATATGAACTCGAGAATGGTTTTTAGCATTTTTAACTGAAGCAGTATTTTCTTGTAAATAGGATATTGTCACCTTCTTCTTGGCGGGAGATTCGGTCTGCCATTTGGGTACTTTTTTGTACTGGGAGTGGGTTTCTTACAAGTCATGCTCGGAACGTCTGTTGTGTATGGTACATATAGGTCGTGACACATTGTCTCTTCCCACGTGTGTTGTGTTAAGAAGGCATTGCTCTTAAAGTAGAAGAGATTGGGGTTTTTTAAGGGCTTAAAAATAGTTATAGGGAATACGCTCTACCTTGCTACCTTAGTAGCTCGTTAAATGCATGGATGCACAGCCGGGCTCCTCAAAATCTTTGTTCTTTTACAGTGAGGCATCTGTGCAAACGGTTGGACTACAGCTAAGCAGCAGTGTGTACCTTACCTACGCAGTGTAGCTCTGCACGTGTATGAAATAGCTGTGCATCCGGATGCTTTAGTCTGATTCTTTCTAATGAGCTGGGCTCTGCACAAAGGACTGTGCTGACAGAGTAGCAGCGCTCATTCACGTCCTTTCTGGCATGGTCTGCAACAGCTTTTGCTGCTCTGCAACTGCTTCGCTTGGGTAGAGAGCGGGAGATTCCCCCTTTTTTTTTTTTGTGGCACAGCCCCATCCTCACTAGTAAAACCCTCACTTGGAAGGGAGTCCCCAAAAGCTCGCTGCTGGAACACATTTGTGGCAATATGGCATCACTGAACTAGGGAAAAGAGGGCCCTGGTGTGTGCAGCTCCTGTATGTAGAGTCTTGAGTGAATTCCCTCTCAGCAAATGGGCAGTCCTGGAAGGAGGCTACCAAGAAACTGCACGGGCTGCAGGCACGGACAGCCTGTTCCCCCCCAGCTTTGCCCCCCAGCAGGGTTTCTGCAGGGCAGGGAGAACAAGCCCTGTATTGCAAAGTCTGTTCTGCTACTAGGCCTATGTTTTCTTGTCTTTATTTCATTTAACGATGCTTACTCCACCTCTTCTCTCTATTTAGTGCCAGCTTTTCTCTGAAGTAGTTGTCACACTGCCACGTTTCCACTAATATTAGGGAGAATGAAGGCCACATTTGCTCTGGTCCTGCTGGTAGCAACCTAGTTGTGCTGGTTGCTTTTCTACTTGCTGCAGAGTAGTTGTCTCTACCAACAGTCTGGCTCTGAGGTGAGGACACAGGTCTGGTCCGCTCAGCCTGCCCTCACATTCAGGGCAGAGCGGTACTGAGAAGGTTTCGTGCTCTGTCACACTGCAGCCTCAGGATTTGCCTCTTACACACCCCTCAGCCTCCTCCACACCTCTGCTTCCAGTTTCTTTCTAGGCTTCTCTCCCTCCCACCAAGAGGATTTCTCTAATATTCTCCCACTGGGAAGATACCAGGTTTCATTTTTTGCTGAACAGTATTTTTCTGTGATGTAGCTTTCCCTGCGTTACGTTTATCCTCCAGTGCCCCACTGAATTCAGAGGAGTATGGAGTGGCAGAGGCTGTTCAGCATCTACGGCATGGGGGCTGCATCCTCCGGCAGCACTAGGTATTTCCATGGGCAGTGCTCTATCTTTTAGATGTCCTCAGCCCTGACTGAAGGAGCCCTAACAGCACGTGGGCGTAGATGACCTGTTGGAAAATTGGTGAGAAACCCACTGAGAAGAGGGTGGTTTAACTGGATGGTAGTGAAATGAAAAGAGGTGGCTGCTTTGCTAAACTGAGTACAACTGCTCAGGGTTAGCGCTCATCTCTGGGCAAGCAGCTGTCCCCCTCCTAAGGACACTTTTGAGCCTGGTGAGCGAGACAAATCTGACAGTGACTAAGGAATGGGGCTTTGCCAGCAACACTGCCAAAGGGACCACCAGGCCCATGTCGAAATTCCTGTTACCATCAGTCTAGAAGCCAACTAAACTTAGGTATCTACTGTAGGCTGGGCTTAACCTCTATTATTAAGATTTCCACTGACTATAATGAGGGCTTTGGAAAGTAGCTGAGACCTGTATGCAGCCAGCAGAGTTGGGGAGCTTTGGTCCTTCAGCTGAAGCTCGTCCTTATTTTCTCTGAGGGCTTGAGACAAATGGGGGAGGTAAGAGAGGCTGCTTTTGGCAGGGGGTCTAGTGCCCTTGTACCCGCACTGAGGAAGGCAGCAGGGTTGAGGTGATGCTGGCTCGTTGCAGCGTTCCACTGTAAGCATGGACGGTGCTGTCACAGGCTGCTGAACTTGCAACTCTCACCTTATAACAGAGGCAGGTACCGCACTGGCCTGTGGCTGACGGTCACTGTTGTGTTATTCAAACACCTTGTCTGGTAGGGGTTTCATACTTATCGTCACGTTCTACGTCAGTCATCGTTCTCTGTAAATATCTAATTATCTACCCAACATACTGCAGCTGTTCCAGCCTAGTAGGTATATATATACAAATAGAACTATTGAAAGTATTATTTATACAAATTTATACCTGTTAAAAAAAGCCACAAACACAAGAATGCTTCTTTACTTGATAGATCAGAACAGCTTAATCTATCAGTTAAATACATGTTTGCTCTTCCCTTTTCCATGCCTCTTGGTCTGGTTTTCATGTGCCAGAAAAAGAGCTATTTTGATGCTACTGGTTTCAGTCACTTTGAAATATATAGCTTTTGGCATGATGAAATCACATCCTTCGTTGTTTTTCATCTCTGTAAGATGTTTTTTCCCCTTCTATAATGTGGCTACAGCATGTACATTAAAATATTTTGAGTAATGTTCAAGCAACTCTGTGTTTTCTCTTATCCATATCCCCCTATCCCCCTAGATTTTAGCGTTTTTTTGCAAGACTTTGGTAACGCCAGTGTTACACGGCCCAGAAAATCATTAGCTGGAACAGAGATCTGAAGTGACAGAAAACCAAGCGGGAATGGTGGTGTTCCCCCCTCACTGCAGGGCAGCGGGCACACGGCTTTGGTCCCGTGCCTAGTTTTGACACCATCACTGTGTTTGCAGATACCACAACAGGCACGAGAGTCTGGTCCACCACGCAGCTTCCCCACGCATGCTGGGACTCCTGGGGCGCGGAGCCTGATGTGCTTCTCCTGCCACTGCCACCCGTCTTCTGCTCTCCCCTTCCCCAGCTCCATGCAGGGCAGCACAACAGGAATGGTGCTTTCTCCAGCAGAAATAAAAGTGGTTGCAGCTTGCTGCTACCTGTGCACACACACACTTCACCTACCAAAAATCTCCCCCGAAGCATTGGGCAGCAACTGGCATGGGCTGGCCTGGTCCTTCAACCCCACCACAAAAGCAAGCAAGGAATAGGACAGCTCTTACGGAGCATTTGAAAGCACATCTTGAATCTACAAACGGGTTTGATGGCTACAGTGCTCACTTCACACAGGTACAGGAGCCAACCCGTGGGGAAAGCGGGTGGCCATGAAGTGGTACCGTTGCTCCAAGCTGCCTGTGCTGAGCGAGATACCCAACAGCCAAGGCCCAAGGTTGGTTGAACATCTGCTGCAGGTGCAAAAGGAGCATAAAGCTGGTGGAGCAGCACCACCATGCTCCAGGTGCTGCTTGGCATGAGCTTTTCCAGGGAAAGGGCCTGGAGTCACAGACCCTGCTCCCCAACAGCAAATGATTCAAGTCTCGCTGCTCCCTGAAGCGTTCTCAATAGCGCCACCCCATCCTTTTCCCCTCATCCCTTACTAATTTTTTTTTTTTTTATTTTTTTTTTTTTTACTTAAAACAGTTTTTACAGTGGAAAACTTCAGCCAACTGAACTGGACAACAGGAAGGGCGGTGATAGCAAGAACAGCTATTTTTTTCTCTGTGTGTGCACACACAGCCCCCCCCCCCCGGCAGGGGTTGGGGTGAGCCTGACTGCGCAGCTCTTTCTGCAGAAACAGCCTGGGGAAGGAAAAACCCTGTGTTTAATTCTTTTTGCTTAGGCATCTGCTTTCCAGTGTTATTCCTGCCAAATATTTATTAACCTACAAGCAGAGAGGGCTCTGCTTTAAGTTTAGAAACAAACTGTTCATTTTCTTTTCCCCCACAAAAGTGTTAGTGCTTTCTCGGAGCTGGTCTGTACGTTGCTGATGTGGAAGACGCATTTGTTTCTGTAGGGCTACTGCTGGCGCGGATGAGAGAGGATTTCACAGGCCACACCGAGTCCAGGTTGTCCAACGAGATAATGCAGTCAGGCTGACTAAAGGAGAGCTGCTCTTCATCCAGATTTGTGAGATGACAGCATTTGTACTTGGCTTCAAAGGCCCCTGGCTCTTCTATTGATGTTTCCATCCTGGAACAGACAGACAGAATCAAACCCTTGTTTACATAATTTAACATTCATAAAAACCCTTTGTGTATCTCTGAGAGCAAAATGAATTGTGCACTAAATGGATCTGGCAACTGTACAGGCAGCTAAAGCACAAGATTTCAGCTGTGGCAGCTTTCCTGAGGGAAGCCGTTTATCCAGGAATCCCCCTCTCTCCCCTGCCCCATCCACACTCCAGAGCCCGAGGATGCTGCTGCCTGGGGAGTCCTTAGGGGGAGGACGGGGAAGCCCTGCTCCCTTCCACTCTGCTGTGGGTGGAAGGGCAGGGAAACACATGCAAGCACCGGGTCTAAAAGTGGTTGGGCCTTTTGTTTCTGAAATTCAGATTTTGCAACTGTTTCCAGCTCACAAATCAATGGTCGAGGCTTGCCGCTGCCAAGTGCCCTCGCAGCTTCACTGTGGAAAATAAAATCCTGCTGTTCTGTGTTTGCAGTCCTCCCTGCTCCGCGCCCTAAAAGCAGAGTGAGGAGGGAAAACTCATATTATTTAAGCCAAATCAGTTTCTGCAACCTCAAGAGCAGGACAGCAGGGTGTCCTCAGCTTCAGGGATGAACACAAACTTTACTCCAGAAGCAGCAGCAGTTCTCACAAAG